GATAATCTCATAAGTCTGTATAAAGTACCAAAATCGCATGGCACAAAAATATATCTGATGATACATCCAATCATATATCGTCATTTGTGGGCCCGATGTGAGGGCTATACCCGAACCTGGCATGTAATGTCAAATTGTTAACTATTTTAATTCATTCAAATATCACTCAATGACAAGGCACGTAGTGCCGAATTGTTAGCAGTTGTTAGCTTCGCATAATTTGTTCGAATATCGATCATGGATGAGGCATGTAGTGCCGAATTGCTAACTATTATAATGCGCTCGAGTATTGATCACGGATGAAGTATGTAGTGCCAAATTGTTAGCAGTTGTTAGCTTCGCATAATTTATTCGAATATCGATTAAGGATAAGGCACGTAGTGCCGAATTGTTGTCATATCTGATAATACACCAAAGCATCCGATAATGAGGCACGTAGTGCCGAATTGCTAACTATTATAATGCACTCGAATATTGATCACGGATGAGGCACGTAGTGCCGAATCGTTAGCAATTGTTAGCTTTGCATATTGCACTCAAAATATCGATTAAGATTAAGGCATGTAATGCCAAATTGTTATCCCTACTTGGTAGACACCCAAAGCATAATTTTACCTTGGGTTACTACCAATTTTTAATATTGGATATCCCTACTTGGTAGACACCCAAAGCATAATTTTATATTATATATCTGTAATAATTTTACCTTGGGTTACTATCAATTTTTAATATTGGATATCCCTACTTGGTAGACACCCAAAGCATAATTTTATATATTATATATCTTTCTATAATAATTATACTTTGGATTACTACCGAATGCCAATCATATTTTGCGATCTTTGAACCCTTTCTTGTATAATTAATATCTTTATATCTCAGTATACCTTTAGATATTATCACGTTAAAATACTTTGGAATACTATCACTTCGCATAGCTAAAAAAAATCTTTATGTCTCGGTATACCTTTGGATACTATTATATTAAATACTTTGGGATACTACCATCTCATATTAGTAAAACTAGTAAAGTTAAAAAAATCCGATAATACTTTAGTCTACTACCATATACCACTCACCTGAAATTCATCTCGATCAAAATCACGCAACACAAAAATAGTTATCGATTATCTCGTAAATTATATATGCGTTCTTTTTCGGAACGCAACCACTTACCTTACCTTATATATCGGAAGCACTTACATGAAATTTTATCTAGCAGACATGTAAATCGGCACCTGGATCTACCCGCGACCCAAAAACCTCTTTGATAAGTATTTGGTTGTCCATCTGAAATTACGCAACACAAAAACCCCTTTATATGATCTAGATATCGAAGTATTAATTTTTGATTTGAATTTTTCTACATACACATTGTAAGAGGCGACAAAAATCTCCCTACCTGAGATGAATGACTAGTTAAATGTAGCAATCTCTCTCCTTCAGAAATTACTACTTAATTAGATGATATTATCTTGATATCTTATATCTGCTTTGTTTGATAATAATTATACGTATTCAATGATTGCTAAAGATTTATTTTTCAATTCTTTTTTGTGCGGAGTAGTAGGAACTTTCATTTTGGCTTCGAAGTTGCGTTTATATTCCAAGAAAGTGACCTCATCCATGCTCTTGCGCTCTTTTTTCCAATAATTATGGTTATCCCGCATTTCAAAAGCAATCTTGGCTCTCCATTGTTCCAATTTTTCTTTCAATATTTGGAATTTTTCTTGTAAATAAAAGATAAGAGTATCTATATCAGATTCATTTCTAATAAGGAATTCTGAAGATAGGGAAATTAAGGATTTAGGTATCTCAATCTTAGTTTTAGTAATGCTTGAGAATTGCTCAGAATTATTTGATTGATCTTGAGCCAATACTATAGAGGACAATTGTGGCAAATCTGTTACGGATTTTTCAACCATGCTATTGCAAGAACTCTTTTCACAAACCTCATTACTGAATTTTGAAATGGCGATATCAGTAGTAATGGGCATTGAATCGAAAAGATCCTGAAATTCGTCAATTACCTTTGACTTATATGATGGAAGAACTGGAGCTATAGGGCAATATTCAGGATTATCTAACTTCCTAGCCATTACTTCTTCTTGATTATTAAAGCCAGCTCCACCATATAGGTTGCGATCAATCCAATACGTTTTTTTTCCATACTTGATGTCCTTTAGAACCTACACGAGTTGCACCACTCTTGATAGTATAACCACACCAATTACTTAGTATTGCATTAATAAATTTTATTGTAGCATTGAGATCAGGCAATCCTTTAGCTCTGGTCTTAAAACCGAAAAGTAACAAGGCATCTTCTCGAATTTTAACAACTTTTTCCCGTGATTGCTCAAAAGTCTTAGCCACATCATCGCCAGAAAGAATATTCGTGTCATCTATATCACTGAAGCCTATCGATTGGACAAGATTATGTACCGCTTCCCATTGTTTCGCTGAATAAAATTTATGCAAATCAACTGAGGACGGATCCATAGATTTATATGAATCTTCCCACTGCATTTCTTCTTTGATTTTAGATTTTCTATAGAATTTATTGCATTGGAACCTTGTCTTCTGAAATATGCCAGCCTCCTAAAATGTTGTAAAGGTTCAGGATTATTGAATTTTTCTACGAAACTTACGTCACAAAGTTTAATCCAATCGTCATTGTTCATACACCAATTCCGAATATCATCCTTACCTCCGATATCACCTGAGGCATATATTTTCCACAAATAATGACGTTGCAGGGTCATGTTATCAGCAAAAGAGCATATAGGATTTTGAACTAAGAATCTCAGCTTCACTGGGACTAATATCTGGAGCATTTGCTATTGATTCTGCATCCGAGCTTTTAATATTTTTCTCAATATTTTTAATAATACGAGAAATTTCATTTCTGTTGACTTTTTCGGTATCTTCTGCTGAAATTAACTCAAGTGTCGCTCCAGTACTAGCAATGAGACTGCAAAGAATTTCAGGAAAATACTTAGCTGATAAGCGTCTTTGATATTCAACCTCAATATAAGTCTCCACGGCTGGGGATAAATCAAGTGTATAACAGTC